GAAGAGGTTGTTCACTTCCGATCACTGGGGATAGGGTTAATAATAATAACCCCTTATTGTCCTAGAAAGGAAAACCAAACAAAGCAAGTATTCTGTTCTGCAGAAAATGGGATGAGACCCCTTAAAAGAAACAGAGAAAATGTTTCAGTGACAATACAAGGAAACCTTTACATCATATTTAAATATATAGAAATGATAACAATGAGAGAGAAATATAGCTAGATCTATAGATCTATGTACCTTTTCATCTGGATCTTTATACAAAAAAAAACAGAACTCAATGAAATATTTTCTTAAGATATAATTCAGGGATTCCTTTTGGTAGAAATGAAAGAATGTTTTTAACTTCTTGTGAGCTGGAAGAAATATAATCTTGATAGTTAGACAAGTTAGATAAAGGGGTTTTAACCCTTGCCAGCTGATGTGGTCCAGATCCATGATGATGTTAGTACCCAGAGCTTAAATTATACACCATCCTCTCTGGCTTTTGGTTGCTGCACAGAGAGCTTCTCACTTTCCAGAATGGTGCTTAAAATCAGAGAAAAAGACTTATTGACCTGAGAGTTAATTTGCATCTAAGTCCACCTCTTTACTTTGTGATCCCAGGACCATTGAACATTCCTCTGTTTTCTTCCTACAGGTTTACAGATAGTGCTATTTAATTCTGGCTCCTCCATATTATTCAACTATTTTTACCAACCAGTTTTCAAAATCTTTTCAACGATCTGAAAATGACGGCCTTTTACCTTTCAACTTTTAACCCAATGCAGATGTCATTTGGACATAAATCATGATGTCTTTTCAATGTGTTTTTAACCGAGTCCATGTTAATATCATACAGATGAATAATAAAAAAAATTAAAAAAACAACCATGGAGAATAATATATTTCAATGCTGGACAATTAAGTTTGGCTAAATTTTATTATCATGTCACATATTTATGAATCCACTTATCTCATCAATTCGTACATTTTCATTGATAGTAGTAACAGATTTGGTCCCTGTATTAACCAATCGTAGCTCTTAGATGATAGTGCCTAGAAACTGGGTCAACCACACCTTCCCACTGAAACTGAAATTTCCATTAGCTCTTTGTTTAGAGTTGCTCTGAATGAGGAGCTGAACGAGGCTTAGATAGGAACTCAGAGAGTCTGATAATCTTTTTGAATGCAGACCCAGAAACAGAGCTGCTGTGGAAGAAGAAAAAATACTTGATTGGTTGTGTGAGGTGGCCATGCCCACTGAACGAGCTCATCCTATGACATTATATCTTCTTCCTTCTCCAGCAGTGGAAGTGTTCATCTGCTGTGTTTAGCTTCAAGTACTCCAAAGACATGTGGCTTTACCTGATTTTGCTTCTTTCTCACATTCAAGGTGAGTTTAAGGACAGAAATTCAGGTTTTGTTCCATGAGCTGCATTAACCACAGATACAAACTTCATTTCATTACCTTTATGCTTCTTTTGCTCTGATGTTGCATCTTTGACACTAAACTGACAGATTACTACAGTTAGTTTTGATTATCCATGGAGTGACATAATAGAGGGTTATTTTGTCATTCGACTGTTTTTGTCAAATGACTATATTTCGTCCACTTTTTTCAGGCCTGGACGCTCAAGAAGACTCCATCATTTCTGATCCAGAGAAAGACCCTGTGATGGAGGGAAAAGCTGTCTCACTCAAATGCAAATATAAGACATCATCTCGTCATCCTATCCTTCACTGGTTCAAACAATTTTCTGATCTTCAAGCTCCTCAGTTCCTGCTGTATAAGGGCTGGAAGGAACAGGTTAATGAAAGTTACACCCTTGACCATCATTACAAATCAATAACAACAGAAACATCAACTGAGCTTATTATAG